GGCCCGCACCCGGGTGACACCATTGACTGTCAGTCATATTGGTGTCACCCCCTATGAAAAGTCGGGCAATCGGTCACGGACAGAGAGCCCGACAGTGTCAGGAGAGAGGAGGGGACCCGGCGGCACACCTCATCCCGCAGGGTGAAGGCCCCCTCCTCTCTCTGCTGGTGTCCATCACCAAGATGGTCGTCTGCAGGTGTCAATAAGACGGCCGCACATGTGCCATGACATTGCGGTGGGGGTGTCACCCGGACTCCACTCCGGGTGACCCCCAGCCTCTGGACTCCCCTGGAAGGAGGACTTTCGTTATGAGTGGATTTTGATGGGTTGAATCGCCTGCTGACTTCTTATATAGCTGGAGGACACCAGCAACACGGTCTTCCTACTGGATCCATGAGGTTCCTACTGGAGTTTCTGGAGTTCCTACAGGAGTTTCTGGAGTTCCTACAGGAGTTTCTGGAGTTCTTACAGGAGTTTCTGGAGTTCCTAGTGGAGTTTCAGGAGTTCCTACAGGAGTTTCTGGAGTTCCTACAGGAGTTTCTTGAGTTCCTAGTGGAGTTTCTTGAGTTCCTAGTGGAGTTTCTGGAGTTCCTAGTGGAGTTTCAGGAGTTCCTAGATTTCTCCACTGGATCCATGGAGTTTGCGTCTCCTGCTACCTTCTCCACAAAAGCTCCGCATACGAGATCCCAACATAAAGTTTGTAGCACATGGGTGTAGCTGGAAACTCAGATCACCACAAAAAGGACTTCTGGAGAAAAGTTGGAGTGACGGAAACGTGTTGCAATGTTTTTAAGTCATCTCTTCAACATGGTTTCTTTTGCACATGGACCAGACATGCCGGACCCATTTTATTGATTGTCACCACCAGAGCTTCTGAGAGAATTGATACGCCGGAGAATCATTTAAAGCTCCGGCGTTTCCCTAAAGCTGAAGTAACGGTTTTGGATTGAACTTACTCTTTAAAGGATCAATACACCCAAAAGGTTATTGTAGTTATCGGTGGGGTCTGGTGCGCTAAGTTGCCTGTTCGATTTCTTGGGAACTCCAGAAATATGTTCCCCCGATCATTGTTCCTGGTTCTCTAAGATGTTAAATCATTAAAAATCCGGCAGGGGAAGTGGAGACCTCTCATAATGGCCACAGCAGATGTACTGACCCGGGAACTTAAGCACAGAGGTTTGGAGTTTCTGGAGTTCCTACAGGAGTTTCTGGAGTTCCTACAGGAGTTTCTGGAGTTCCTACAGGAGTTTCTGGAGTTCCTACAGGAGTTTCTGGAGTTCTTACAGGAGTTTCTGGAGTTCCTAGTGGAGTTTCAGGAGTTCCTACAGGAGTTTCTGGAGTTCCTACAGGAGTTTCTTGAGTTCCTAGTGGAGTTTCTTGAGTTCCTAGTGGAGTTTCTTGAGTTCCTAGTGGAGTTTCTTGAGTTCCTAGTGGAGTTTCTGGAGTTCCTAGTGGAGTTTCAGGAGTTCCTAGATTTCTCCACTGGATCCATGGAGTTTGCGTCTCCTGCTACCTTCTCCACAAAAGCTCCGCATACGAGATCCCAACATAAAGTTTGTAGCACATGGGTGTAGCTGGAAACTCAGATCACCACAAAAAGGACTTCTGGAGAAAAGTTGGAGTGACGGAAACGTGTTGCAATGTTTTTAAGTCATCTCTTCAACATGGTTTCTTTTGCACATGGACCAGACATGCCGGACCCATTTTATTGATTGTCACCACCAGAGCTTCTGAGAGAATTGATACGCCGGAGAATCATTTAAAGCTCCGGCGTTTCCCTAAAGCTGAAGTAACGGTTTTGGATTGAACTTACTCTTTAAAGGATCAATACACCCAAAAGGTTATTGTAGTTATCGGTGGGGTCTGGTGCGCTAAGTTGCCTGTTCGATTTCTTGGGAACTCCAGAAATATGTTCCCCCGATCATTGTTCCTGGTTCTCTAAGATGTTAAATCATTAAAAATCCGGCAGGGGAAGTGGAGACCTCTCATAATGGCCACAGCAGATGTACTGACCCGGGAACTTAAGCACAGAGGTCAGGCCACCCAACCACCTCTCTATGGGAGAGATGCAAAAACCAATTAGGTGGTGCAATGCTCCATCACTTACCATGAGCTGAAATGTCGAGCGACTGTATTTGGAGCCTCTGTGTGAGATTATTTTATTATGTTGGTTCTTCCAGATTCGGGATCACCTGACGAAAGCTCAGAGAGGGCAGAAGGGAGAAGGAGTCTCTTCGGTGTTACAGAACCTGGTAGACGTCACTCAGGAAGGGGTCAGCTACAGCGGCGATATCCTAACCACTGTGGACTGTCTGAGAAATATGACCGATATCTTCCGCCGTCCTTACCACAGCCCCACCTCCAATGATATCCAGGTAAGGGGGGCGGCACACCTCCATTTGTTTTGTAAGGCATTTGGACCTCCACCTGTGTTTCATAGTAGTTAGAAATCTCTAATTCTCAGGGGCCGTCTCATAGTCTAATGACTGATACCCCAAACGTGATAGAATGTCCTTGTCTGTGCTTCTTTATGCGATGCAGGCAGATCATGGCTGGTGGGAGGGGCTGGCAGGGTTCTGAAATCATCACAGCATCCTGTCTCCGTACTCCTCTCAATAGCCTGTGGCAGTCCCGCTGCAAGCAGTGGGCCGGGTCTTGGAGGAATCATGCAAGTATCAAAATGCCTTGATGGGTGGGTGTCAGGCTGTGAGTGTTCCTAGGCAGGATGCATTGACATGTAGACCGCCCCAGTGAATGTCCACATGTGACCCTGAGCCTTCTTGATTGGATGAACTACATCCAATCAATGAAGGGGGCGGGTCAGGGTGGGGCTTAGTTGGCTAAGTTGGGTTTTAAGCAATGGGAACCGGAGGCTTACACTGTCCTTGTAAAAGACAGTAATGTGACAACACTGCCACCACTGCCCGACTTCAGTGACAGCTGTCCTTCCTTCCTTCCTTCTCTTCCTTCTCTTCCTTCTCTTCCCTTCCTCCCTTTCTTCCTTCTCTTCTCTTTCCTTCCTTCTCTTATTTTCCCTTCCTTCTCTTTCCTTCCTTCCTTCCTTCCTTCTTCCTTCTCTTTCCTTCCTTCCTTCCTTCCTTCCTTCCTTCCTTCCTTCCTTCCTTCCTTCCTTCCTTCTCTTCTCTTCTCTCTTCCCTTCCCTTATCTTCTCTTCCTTCTCTTCCTTCTCTTCTCTTCCCTTCCTCCCTTTCTTCCCTTCCTTCCTTCTCTTCTCTTCCCTTCCTTCTCTTCCCTTCCTTCCTTCTCTTCTCTTCCCTTCCTTCTCTTCCCTTCCTTCCTTCTCTTCTCTTCCCTTCCTTCCTTCTCTTCTCTTCCCTTCCTTCCTTCTCTTCTCTTCCCTTTCTTCCTTCCTTCTCTTCTCTTCCCTTTCTTCCTTCCTTCTCTTCCCTTTCTTCCTTCTCTTCCCTTCCTTCTCTTCTCTTCCCTTTCCTCCTTCCTTCTCTTCCCTTTCTTCCTTCTCTTCCCTTCCTTCTCTTCTCTTCCCTTTCTTCTTTCCTTCCTTCTCTTCCCTTCCTTCTCTTCTCTTCCCTTCTTTCCTTCTCTTCCCTTCCCTCTCTTCCTTCTTTTCTCTTCTTCTTCTTTTCTCTTCCCTTCCTTCCCTCTCTTCCTTCTCTTCTATTCACTTCTTCTTTTCCCTTCCTTCCTTCCTTCTCTCTTCTCTTCCCTTCCCTTCTCTTCCCTTCCTTCTCTTTTCTCTTCCTTCCTTCCTCTCTCCTGCTGTTCCTCCGGACTCAGTGATGAGACGCTGTGACATTTTGAAGGGGAAGGCAGAAAGCAGCTTTGCTCACGTTCATAGATTAATGGAAGCGCAGCAGACAGCAGCGATCGATGTCGGGTAGTTGTTGTGAAAATGTGATCTTCAGGCACGTGTCTGGGGAAGAATGAGCACATGACGTAATGGAAGAGAATGGAATGGGAGATGATCTGCATGGAGGGTGTCTGGGAACTGATCTTCACTCACTTTTGTTGCTTTATCGGGTAGAAAACCTTAAAGGGAACCTGTCACTTCAAAGTATTAGTCTTGTGCGGATTAGGGAAATTTTCAGATATACTGCAGAACATTGTCTCCCTCCCTCTCTCTGTAGAACATTCTCTCTCTCTCTCTCTCACATCGTCTCCTTCTCTCTCTATAGAATATCCCCTCTCTCTCACATCGTCTCCTTCTCTCTCTATAGAATATCCTCTCTCTCTCTCTCTCACATTGTCCCCCTCCCTCTCTCTGTAGAACATTCTCTCTCTCCCTCTCTCTCTCTCACATCTTCTCCTTCTCTCTCTATAGAATATCCTCTCTCTCTCTCACATTGTCCCCCTCCCTCTCTCTGTAGAACATTCTCTCTCTCCCTCTCTCTCTCTCACATCTTCTCCTTCTCTCTCTATAGAATATCCTCTCTCTCTCTCACATTGTCCCCTCCCTCTCTCTCTCTCTCTCTCTCTCTCTCTCTCTCTCACACATCGTCTCTCTCTTTCTCTCTCACATCATCTCTCTCTCTCTCTCACATCGTCTTTCTCTCTCTCTCATTCTCTCTCTCTCACATCGTCTCTCTCTCTCATTCTCTCTCTCTCACATCGTCTCTCTCTCTCTTTCTCTCTCTCTCATTCTCTCTCTCTCACATCGTCTCTCTCTCTCTTTCTCTCTCACATCGTCTCTCTCTCACATCGTCTCTTTCTCTCTCTTTCTCTCTCTCTCACATCGTCTCTCTCTCTTTCTCTCTCTCTCACATCGTCTCTCTCTCTTTCTCTCTCTCTCACATCGTCTCTCTCTCACATCGTCTCTCTCTCTCTCACATCGTCTCTCTCTCTCTCTTTCTCTCTCTCTCACATCGTCTCTCTCTCTCTCACATCGTCTCTCTCTCTCTCTCACATCGTCTCTCTCTCTCTCTCTCTCACATCGTCTCTCTCTCTCTCTCTCTCTCTCGAACATTCTCTCTCTCGAACATTGTCTCTCTCCTGGCCGTAGTCTTCCTCGATTCTTCTCTTCTATCTCCTGATCCTCAAAGTTCCAGAACTTAATCCACAGCACTCCACTACCCCTAAAGCGGGGGTGGGTCCCTCAGAGGAGGGGTCAGTTCTAAGGGAGGGACTTATCAGGCCCTGTCCCTGGAACTGGCTCATTGCTGTTTCCTCCTGCACAGAGCTTGAGGGTAAATCACTGCCATCCCCAACCGTGGGACATATCGACTAAACTAAGTGAATAACGTGCTCCTCAGTACAATAAGCTCAGTGTCTTGACATGTGCTGCTGCGTGCTTTTTTCGCATTTGACGAGATCCTTCCCTGCCGGGATTTATTTTTATTTCATATAATGGAAAATGTGACAGGAGGAGCTGGAAGAGAGTCGGCAATTATGGCAGCTGAGATCTCGCTGCAGAGATATCCAAGGCTCAGAAGATGCCAGGAGATGACTCAACCCACCAGGTTCCACTTATAGCTAACATGCCGCTCTGAGGTGATCTCACCTAACAATCTCACGCGAGGTATATGTATTATAGAGGAAGAGGTTCCCTTTAGACTCGCTGTAGACTTGAAATCAGTGGGACGGAATGTGCTGAGGAACAGAAATATAAAGGCGGAATGTTCTCTGGGGTTTGCGTAGGTAACAATCTGTCCATTTGTTAATTATCCTTCGGATGCTGATTGGCTCTTCTCCTTCTCTTTGCTCCATCAAGAACTTTGTGCAAGTCATCAGCAACCTGCTATCCGACGAGAACCGGGACAAGTGGGAGGAGGCGCAGACGGTAAGAGCTGCTTTTATCACACGTTTTCTTTATTGTGAGGCTTTGACTTTTATCGGGGGCGCTACTCGGAGCTGAACTGGGGCGCCTATTGGTGATCAATGGGTCCACCTTCTACAAATGGGCATCCACAAGCTTTATGGAACTCAAACCATTGGTGATCCATCGGGGGCGCTACTTAGAGCTGAACGGCGCGCCTATCGGCAATCAATGGGTCCACCTTCTACAAATGGGGAGCTACAAGGTTTATGGAACTCAAACCATTGGTAAGCCATCGGGGGCGCTACTTAGAGCTGAACGGCGCGCCTATTGGCAATCAATGGGTCCACCTTCTACAAATGTGGAGCTACAAGGTTTATGGAACTCAAACCATTGGTGATCAATCGGGGGCGCTACTTAGAGCTGAAAGGGGTGCCTATTGGCAATCAATGGGTCCACCTTCTACAAATGGGGAGCTACAAGGTTTATGGAACTCAAACCATTGGTGATCAATCGGGGGCGCTACTTTTCTTCCCTTCCTTCCTTCTCTTCTCTTCCCTTCCTTCTCTTCCCTTCCTTCCTTCTCTTCTCTTCCCTTCCTTCTCTTCCCTTCCTTCCTTCTCTTCTCTTCCCTTCCTTCCTTCTCTTCTCTTCCCTTCCTTCCTTCTCTTCTCTTCCCTTCCTTCCTTCTCTTCTCTTCCCTTTCTTCCTTCCTTCTCTTCTCTTCCCTTTCTTCCTTCCTTCTCTTCCCTTTCTTCCTTCTCTTCCCTTCCTTCTCTTCTCTTCCCTTTCCTCCTTCCTTCTCTTCCCTTTCTTCCTTCTCTTCCCTTCCTTCTCTTCTCTTCCCTTTCTTCTTTCCTTCCTTCTCTTCCCTTCCTTCTCTTCTCTTCCCTTCTTTCCTTCTCTTCCCTTCCCTCTCTTCCTTCTTTTCTCTTCTTCTTCTTTTCTCTTCCCTTCCTTCCCTCTCTTCCTTCTCTTCTATTCACTTCTTCTTTTCCCTTCCTTCCTTCCTTCTCTCTTCTCTTCCCTTCCCTTCTCTTCCCTTCCTTCTCTTTTCTCTTCCTTCCTTCCTCTCTCCTGCTGTTCCTCCGGACTCAGTGATGAGACGCTGTGACATTTTGAAGGGGAAGGCAGAAAGCAGCTTTGCTCACGTTCATAGATTAATGGAAGCGCAGCAGACAGCAGCGATCGATGTCGGGTAGTTGTTGTGAAAATGTGATCTTCAGGCACGTGTCTGGGGAAGAATGAGCACATGACGTAATGGAAGAGAATGGAATGGGAGATGATCTGCATGGAGGGTGTCTGGGAACTGATCTTCACTCACTTTTGTTGCTTTATCGGGTAGAAAACCTTAAAGGGAACCTGTCACTTCAAAGTATTAGTCTTGTGCGGATTAGGGAAATTTTCAGATATACTGCAGAACATTGTCTCCCTCCCTCTCTCTGTAGAACATTCTCTCTCTCTCTCTCTCACATCGTCTCCTTCTCTCTCTATAGAATATCCCCTCTCTCTCACATCGTCTCCTTCTCTCTCTATAGAATATCCTCTCTCTCTCTCTCTCTCTTTGTCCCTCTCTCATCCTCCCCCTCTCGGCCTCCTATCTCTCCCTCTCTTTACACTTCTTTCCCATCTTTTCTCTTTGCCTCCTGTTTTACTTTTTCTTTCCACCCCTCTCCCATGCTCCCTCTCTCTGCCTCCCCTCTCTCTCTTTTTTGCCCCTCTCCCATCTTCCCTCCCTCTCTCTGCTTCCCCTCTCTCTATTTTTTGTCCCTCTCCCATCCTCCCTCTCTCTCTCTCTCTCTCTCTCTCTCTCTCTCTCTCTCTCTCACACATCGTCTCTCTCTTTCTCTCTCACATCATCTCTCTCTCTCTCTCACATCGTCTTTCTCTCTCTCTCATTCTCTCTCTCTCACATCGTCTCTCTCTCTCATTCTCTCTCTCTCACATCGTCTCTCTCTCTCTTTCTCTCTCTCTCATTCTCTCTCTCTCACATCGTCTCTCTCTCTCTTTCTCTCTCACATCGTCTCTCTCTCACATCGTCTCTTTCTCTCTCTTTCTCTCTCTCTCACATCGTCTCTCTCTCTTTCTCTCTCTCTCACATCGTCTCTCTCTCACATCGTCTCTCTCTCTCTCACATCGTCTCTCTCTCTCTCTTTCTCTCTCTCTCACATCGTCTCTCTCTCTCTCACATCGTCTCTCTCTCTCTCTCACATCGTCTCTCTCTCTCTCTCTCTCTCTCGAACATTCTCTCTCTCGAACATTGTCTCTCTCCTGGCCGTAGTCTTCCTCGATTCTTCTCTTCTATCTCCTGATCCTCAAAGTTCCAGAACTTAATCCACAGCACTCCACTACCCCTAAAGCGGGGGTGGGTCCCTCAGAGGAGGGGTCAGTTCTAAGGGAGGGACTTATCAGGCCCTGTCCCTGGAACTGGCTCATTGCTGTTTCCTCCTGCACAGAGCTTGAGGGTAAATCACTGCCATCCCCAACCGTGGGACATATCGACTAAACTAAGTGAATAACGTGCTCCTCAGTACAATAAGCTCAGTGTCTTGACATGTGCTGCTGCGTGCTTTTTTCGCATTTGACGAGATCCTTCCCTGCCGGGATTTATTTTTATTTCATATAATGGAAAATGTGACAGGAGGAGCTGGAAGAGAGTCGGCAATTATGGCAGCTGAGATCTCGCTGCAGAGATATCCAAGGCTCAGAAGATGCCAGGAGATGACTCAACCCACCAGGTTCCACTTATAGCTAACATGCCGCTCTGAGGTGATCTCACCTAACAATCTCACGCGAGGTATATGTATTATAGAGGAAGAGGTTCCCTTTAGACTCGCTGTAGACTTGAAATCAGTGGGACGGAATGTGCTGAGGAACAGAAATATAAAGGCGGAATGTTCTCTGGGGTTTGCGTAGGTAACAATCTGTCCATTTGTTAATTATCCTTCGGATGCTGATTGGCTCTTCTCCTTCTCTTTGCTCCATCAAGAACTTTGTGCAAGTCATCAGCAACCTGCTATCCGACGAGAACCGGGACAAGTGGGAGGAGGCGCAGACGGTAAGAGCTGCTTTTATCACACGTTTTCTTTATTGTGAGGCTTTGACTTTTATCGGGGGCGCTACTCGGAGCTGAACTGGGGCGCCTATTGGTGATCAATGGGTCCACCTTCTACAAATGGGCATCCACAAGCTTTATGGAACTCAAACCATTGGTGATCCATCGGGGGCGCTACTTAGAGCTGAACGGCGCGCCTATCGGCAATCAATGGGTCCACCTTCTACAAATGGGGAGCTACAAGGTTTATGGAACTCAAACCATTGGTAAGCCATCGGGGGCGCTACTTAGAGCTGAACGGCGCGCCTATTGGCAATCAATGGGTCCACCTTCTACAAATGTGGAGCTACAAGGTTTATGGAACTCAAACCATTGGTGATCAATCGGGGGCGCTACTTAGAGCTGAAAGGGGTGCCTATTGGCAATCAATGGGTCCACCTTCTACAAATGTGGAGCTACAAGGTTTATGGAACTCAAACCATTGGTGATCAATCGGGGGCGCTACTTAGAGCTGAAAGGGGTGCCTATTGGCAATCAATGGGTCCACCTTCTACAAATGGGGAGCTACAAGGTTTATGGAACTCTAACCATTGGTGAGCCATCGGGGGCGCTACTTAGAGCTGAAAAGGGCGCCTATCGGCAATCAATGGGTCCACCTTCTACAAATGGGGAGCTACAAGGTTTATGGAACTCTAACCATTGGTGAGCCATCGGGGGCGCTACTTAGAGCTGAAAAGGGCGCCTATCGGCAATCAATGGGTCCACCTTCTACAAATGGGGAGCTACAAGGTTTATGGAACTCAAACCATTGCAGGGATTCCCATCGCTCGACGTCTGAGACATGCAGTTCTGGGCACCGGGCAGATTGTTCCATTCTACATCTCTTCTTTGGACAAGCAGAGCTAAATGTAGAGTGGGGAAGCCGCTCGTTCGTTAACAAGTGATCTCGGCAATGTTGCCGAGATCACTTGTATGCAGCCTACTCTCCACACACCACCCCCCCCCCCCCCGCTGGCTACCTCTCTTCCTGCCGGCCGGAGATCCCCTCTTTTCAGGATGGAGAGCGTGGAGCAGAGCGGAGAATATCCGTTCTCCGCTCTGCTCCGAGTGAACACTGAGATGGGAGAGCTGTACTCGCAGTCTTCTCCTCTCAGCTGTCACAGGACTTCCAGCAGAATGCTGTGCTACAACTCCTGTATTGGAGGTTGTGACGGACCCCGGTACTCAGGATGGGTATGTCCGCCACTGTAGTCTTCCTCGCTGAGGAGATGCTGCACCCAAGTGATTATCGGGAGATAGGAATTCCACACCCCTGCTGCCCCTCTACTCCTTCCTGCCCCTCTACTCCCTGCTGCCCCGAGGTCGGGCCTTGGTTGGCCTTGTGGGAAATCCGGCCCTGTCCACGGCGCCAACAAGTATCAGGGACAGGAGGAAACATTCGGCGTATGGATACAGGATCTCTGTTCCAGCCAGAGATGGTTTGTGTATCACATGAGTTATGTGTAATGAAGAACGCCGATCCCCAATTGTCCATAGCGATCTGTTTGCCCAAGTCCCTGTGCCACGACTGGACGAATAACCCCAATTTTTTTTTTACACGGTGCATCTTATACCCCAGATAGACTCTCGGCCATATACCGGAACTTTAACAGATGCAATTCAAACATTGATTTCATTTATACACATTGTATGGACCGGCCGTTGTATCCAAACGTTGTGGATGTCAGATGGCTTTTATTTTTGCCTTGTTGATTTTAAAGACTTCTTTTATAAGTATGAAATATATTGCGTATAAAGTTAAGTAAAATACATTGATAAATAAACAAACAAAATTGATAGAAATGTTAAATAAAAAAATAGGTAAAAAATAATAATTAAATGTAAAAATGGTTAAATCCTGGAGTTCTCTTTAAGAAGAGTTCTGATTGAAGCTCCATTATCCCAGTGAAGGATCCATCAAGTTGCCTCAGGATACGAATCACTCCCATTTAATATGAATAAATGTTTTTGCTACAATGTATCGGTGTGAGAGGACGCATTGCGTCATGTGACCTCGCTTTGTTGTGAAATCCGGCACATTCTATGGACCCGGCATCTCAAGGTA